ACATAAATTTATATTCATATATATTTATATATATAACTCTGGCCCCGAATTCCATAAAACTCTTCTCTCTTTTCTTTTTTTTGTCGCTTAATAGAGTTCACTATATCGCGTTTAACTTTATAGTTCGTCAACTTATTCGTGAGTACCTACGATTCAGGGATACGATCGATCCTCAGCGTCGTTTTGACAAACCGGTCACCGTTTATCCTCTCCCCACTTTCTTTGCAGAGACACATTCGACTAAACGCATACTTAGACGTAAATTACCGACGATATTAAATTGGCACAACTGAGTTGGTGCAACGGGAAACTCGCTCTAAAGTTTTATCGAATCCAGGTATTTACAGGATGGATCCTTATCATCTCGGTACGCTGGAAGATCCCCCCCCCCCCGCCCCTCTAAGATCGAACTACAATTGCTTTTTCGTTCGGTTTTATATTACATTAATTTACTTCCTTATCGCCCCCCCAATTTTTTGTTTAGACTTCACGGCGAAGCCTCCCGATACAACAGTTCCTCCCGAATAATAAAAAGGAAAAAAAAAACAAAAAACATACTTTCGATAAATTCGATCTCTAGTCGTACAACTAAGCCATAGCTCACGGCCCCCGGGACAATTTACTTTCACAAGCTAAACTTTACATCACAGAACAACTTTGGAATAAAAATACCTCGATCGTTTCCCGAACCACCGTTTTGTACGTTCGTCGATAAACGCTCTCTATATAAGCCTTCCTAAAGTAGTTCGTTGTAGAAGCGAAGAAACGTTTCACACTCGCGCACGTGTTTTAACACGAAGGAGAAAAAAAAAGAAGGAGATAGAAAGAAAAAAAAAAAATAAAGAAAACGACTGGCGGAATATCCGCGAGAGTTCAGCTTCACCGAAGCGTCTTCCGGAATTGCGACCGATCGACCGTGTCGCCCTCTGTCGACAAGCTCGGTCGATCATCTTACGATTCGAAGTGCGCGCGGGCAGATTGACGAACCACACGTGTCCGGTTTGTGTTACTCGATATCGTTCGGGCCGATTCAGAATCGACGTCGAATTGTCCGTCGTCGTTGTTATCAATCGTCACAATCGACAAAATTGAGACGGGCGCGGAAACAGTAACCGAACGACGTAAATCCTTGGATTATGGTCGTCGACGAGACAGAATTGGCGACATTCCTTCCTGTCGGTTTTTGAATCGTCGTCCGTGGCGCATGCGCCCCGTCGCGATACATAACCTCAAGAATGTGCTCCCATTTTATTATCAGTCTTTTCTCGTTTCTCCGTTCGGGAAACGTCGATAATCCACCGGTTTCTGGATTCATTTATCCGTGTGCCTGGCTATGGTCCGGGTCAGGCTCGACCCAGCCGTGTCTTTACAGGCGACGGTCATTCTGTTGAGCGTCGTTGTCCACCGGAAACACGATTGAGTCACCGGGGAACGGATACGTCGAAGGGAATCATCGTGTGTTCAAGGAGCATTTCCAAACGTGCTCCGGAAGCGAATTCCTTCGATCATGTTTCTCGAGAAACGCAATCCCCCGTTCAGCGGACGGCAAGGACGCGATGCTGTGGACAGTCCATCGACGCTGCCAATTTTAATAACGCGCGATCGTGACAGCACTACGTTCCGCGTCACTTTCTCTCTTCCGACTCCTGATTGGTTTTCACCAGATTGTACGCGTGACTTCTGTATTTCGTGGGTGGATCGTGAAGAGGTAGAGGTTGCTGCTGCGGCTGTTGTTGCTGTTGTTGTTGTTGCTCGTTGGATGGTTGACTCATGCTGGACATCGAGAGGTCTGTTGGCATATCGATTTCCGGCTCGACGCCACTTCCGCCTTCTTCTTCCGGCTCGGACTTTATCCGCATTTGCTGACGCAGCAGAGATATGTTCTTTATGTTCTTCAGCTCCGTCGGATTTCGCAGAAATCTGAACACAAAGGAATTCATTTTAAAACGGCGTTCCGAGTATTTAGAAACAACTTTAGGGTACAATAATATGATTGTCGAATAGGAGACGTTTGTATTGAACACGTGAATATGATAAAGTGGATATTTTCACGAAATCGTTATGTAAAATGAATTATATACAGTGTGTAGATTGATCATGTTTGTCAGATACAATCTTTTGAGTATGTTCATACGGTCGAGTGTTAAAACACCTTAAGCCGCGTTTAGCTACCATGTGATAATTCTGTACTGATATGTTCGTTTATTCTTGTGTTGCACTTCAAATGAACTTTATTATACTTTATAATATTTCTGTGAGGCATTCTAGCACACAAATAAAGTGAAACTTCGATACAGTAGTAAAAAAAATATTTTTTAAAGTGTAAAATTAATGTTAGGTAGAAACGTTTTTTGTCAAAGTATTTGCAATGACTTCATACTCGTGGATACCGTTATGCCGAGTATCTTGTACAGCTTCGTAGATAAATAGGACGTATAGCGGATGAAACTTTAAGACGAAAAGGAGTAAAGAAACAACTTTTTTACATGACAAATGTACACGGAAAATTCTTTATCTGTGACCTGTAGAGAAAAATATTATAATATTTATAGGAAATCTGAATACTTTAATACAGAACGTCATCCATTCTCGTCTTTTTATCAAATTTGATACAGAGGTAGAAAATTCAAAAATACTCAATCTGTATTTCATTTGTAATTGCCTAAAATTCATATTTATGGGTCGAAAGCAACTCTCGATTCAAAATTGCAGAAATGACAAAAAGTAAAACTCGAAAGTTGCTTGTAATTCTATTAACGAATTATATACCATCAGCAAAATTCCAGAAGAACCGTAGTTGAAAGAGTTAAAAGTTTTCGAAGCGTCAAGTAAACATATCGAAAGAAAGTGGAGATACAAAAAGAAATGAAAATGGCTATGAAACACTTACTGGTAACAGTGACGTTCCCCTTGGACCTTCCGGAGAATGTTCACGCGATAATAGTATCGTAGGGCTCTGCTCATTTTATCGTAATTCATCGAGAGATGATTCTTCTGGATGCCCCAGAGCCTCGCCAGCCCGGGAGGATCGACGATTTTGAACACTCCTGTTTCCCGGCTTTTCCACGCGATATAGTGGGTGTACCGTTGCGAGGGGTCGTTCAACAGTTGCTGTAGAAAATCCCATAGAAGTCTACCATCTGCGACAGGAGAAGAAAGCCGATTGAAAGTTTTGTGTTCGTGGATGTTACTTTTAAAGAAAAAGGATTTGCACCCACGTAGACACTGTTATTTCAAATATATTACACACATTTAGACGACAATATTGTCGTTTTCAGAGTCAATAGACACTTCGAATGTAAAAAATACTAATAAGAATTGTGTTTTAAATATATAATTTAGTGTAACAGTTCTTTGATCTGTCCAACACTGTCCCAATTACGTTTTTCTATCTTTAAACACTACAAAGAGTATCTTTTTAAATAAATTGTATTTATTATTAATTCTTCGAGAGTGGAGTATTGAAAAATAGAACGATGACTATGGAGAACACTTCATTCATGATGGCGAGTGCTGCAGTAAATTTTGTTTCATATACCACGTATTTAAATTACCTGATTTATATCTAATTAAACACCCGATAGCGATATTCCATGCACAGCCCATATTATTCATTGAACGCATATACAGGGTGTCCCAAAAAGATGGGACAATCCGCAACATGGATATCTCGGAAATGGAGCTTCAGATTACAAAACGGTAAAGGACTTATCGATCAGATTACACATAGATACACGTCGCAGATTGGCCGATCTTTTTAGCACCTGTATAAGTAAAAAGAAGCAACTTATCATTCGTCACTTTCGTCTCAGTTTTGCATATGGAATCCACCATCTGGAAATGCCCTATATCTTCACGAACACCCTGTACAGCAAAAAGGAGAAACTTACTGGTATTGGGTTCAGGCGAGTCGCTGGGAAAGAACTCCCTGGCCGCGTTCGCGGCGTTCGTTCTGAAGGCACCAGGCGTCAGGGGCATCATCGGCTGCGTCAGCGTGGGGCTCGGCTGATCCTTGACGCATACCTCGCTTAGCCTCTGCGCGGCTAAAGCGGTTGGCGTGGCCGGTGGACTTCCGTTGGCCGCTTGTTGATTGTCCTCGTCCGAGTCGCTCTTGTAGACCTGACTTTGTGCACCCTCGGTGTGCCCAGGTGAGCCCGCTTGACTGTCCACCGATGGGGCCGGGGACAGTGTGACCGAGTTCGCGGACATCAATGAGGCCAGATTCGCTGTGTACGGGTTCTCCGTCCATGTTGGTGTCGGGGGATGCGAATGGGGGCTAAGAGGATACGCGGAAGGCCTGGTCGGTGTCACTGGACTGCTCGGAAGACACCTCTGTAGCTGACTGAAGTCCCTGGCCAGCATCGATAGCACGTTGTGCAACACGTCCCCAGCGCCTGGACATCGCTCGCCCAGATCCGCCTTGGTCAGCAGACACAACGCTTTCCCGTTCATTTGGAACATGTCCATGTCGAACTGCGGTAGATCGAACTCCCGTTCCGCCCAACGGAGAAACGTCGCCACATCCTCTCGGGACCACAGCCGCGGGTCGGACGCTGTTCAACATATGTTCTTTTTGGTTATCGTGTCTTGTGAATGAGCCTGCCATTCAGATCACGTCTGGCGAACGACCGTGTCGAATGTTTAGACGCGGTTTGATATTGATGGTGCATAATCGCTCGGGGGAAACCTTGTACCTTTGGTGTATCGAAGAAACGTTTTCGGAAGCGTTTCAGGCATACGAAAGATCTTGCGAAGGATTCGTAGTTTCGGGAAGTTCTGTTGTTACTAGACTGTGGATTTTATGAAGTTGAATCGCTAACTGCAGAAAGGGGACGTGTTGTTTTCAGAAGATGAACATTTTTAGATGACATCTCCTGGACATGTCCCGTTTCTGTAGTAAACAGAAATTATTGACGTCCATAGCATACTAGATAGGGTATAGATATGATCCTTTTCTGGAGGAACTTGTGTATGCAACTTATAAAAGTGGTACCTTGCCGAAAAGCGAATTCCTTAGAAAAATGGAGATATCCCCTTTTCGCAGATAGCGATTCCAGTTATGGCCTATAGGGCCAGATGAAATGCAATACGAAAAAAAAACTTTTATTCGATGCAATGAGGTTACTATTATATTCGTAGTCTAATAAGATACTAATGGGAAGCATGGAATTCATACTTTTATTCTTGTCTTTACAAATTACTTTATAAAACGTTATTTTGAAAATAATAAATTGTTGTTTTTTTTATCAAAGAGTTGGAAAGTTTTGTTTCATTATGGATCAGACACGCTATTTCCACAACGATAATAGAAAATAAGAATTATCTGTGGTTAAGGGTTAATAATGACCTTCGTCATTTTTCTCATCTTTCTTCAACAAAACCGTTACTAATCCATTTCTTCAAAACTAAGGTACCAAGATTTCACCAAAATCGTATAATATTCGTATCAACGAATAGTATATACGCGTTTCGAATAGGGTGACAATAAACCCAGACAGCACACGACGCCTTAAAGACGGCTTAAATGCGTCTTGGACGTAAAATAGCAGTAAAATGGGCGTTTCAAAGGCGTTATGTGCTATCTAAGGAGTGAAAAGTGGACATACCTAGACTTGCTGGCAGATGAGTCTTGAAGTCGAGGAACGGGCTGGGCGGTGGGTGGGTGGGTGGAAAATTCATGGCCGGGCCGTATCGCCAGAGCAGCTCCGTGGGGCTGAAAGGCAAGGATATGCCTGGTGGCAGCCGTGAGTCCATCCCCGTCATTCCACCCCCGGCCGAGACCGGCGGCAATTGCGGCAGCTGGATCGTCGGCAACAATTTCATAACACGTCCCACTTTCTATTCTCTCCGCTCTGAAATCAACACCGAGGCAATCGATTAATATATACCTGGCGCGTTCCATTTGACGACCGACAACACCGAACGACTAATTATTAATCAACGAGGCGGCAGACGGAATACTTATATCGGTGTGCTTGTTTTTTGGGGGAAGATGGAAACCTATCGTCTCTCAGTAATGTTCGTTTGTGCTGGGACGTATTCAGTTTTATATCGATTCGAGAGTTAAGTGCACCGATGAGTACTACCGTTTTTTGTTTGTCATCGAGGAAACGTAATTCAAATGCTACATGGGTTTCCTTTAGTTTTTCTTTGGTGAAAGTCGCGCAGGATGTCGAACAGAAACGAGTAATATTATGGTAATATATAACAAATAGTGGATTACTCGTTAGTACCTAAAATTACTGTATTTTATATTTACTGTATTCAATTTTAATATTTTAATAATATATCATTTTCTTTCTTGTTACATAAATATTATATTTAAATGTTCTTACTATTGCTAGTTAATTGTTTTGTGCATTCTACCGCTATTGGCCAAAGAGATTTCTTATTTACCTGAACAATATGTGTATTACAACCACTATTAATGCGTTTGCAAAAAACACCAAAATGTAGAACATAATAAAATTAAAAGATTGATAAAGATTACCCTTTTTTTTTAATCCCTTAAATTCGGAATATAAGTTTCCATTTCACAATCCTCATTGCAACTTAATACATAAAAATAGGAGTGTACTTTCATGTCGTTGCATACGTAATGTCGGTTCCAAACTCGCCGAATAAAAAATTAATACTTTCGATTAATTTTAACCATCGAATATTCAAACTATTCCTGTTTTAGCACTCGTTTCCAGTGAACCTAGAAACGACACTGCTTCTGGAAAGACCTCATAAAATTTGGTCCTTGTTATATTTAAACTTTTCTGAAATATTCATAAAATTTCGCCCTCGGTTATAAATTCCTTTGGTAATACGATTGAAAGGCGGGAAATAAAATGTAACTGTCCATTTTTTCAATCCCACTTCGACACAATTTAACTCCAAACCGATTAATCGATCTTCGGATTAATCGTAACTACTTACTGGTCCTAAAAATAAGATACAGTTATATTTCTAACAATAACGCAAAAATCGATTTTGTCGATGCAAATGAAAGTAATTCAAATGAAAATGTCATTGAGCTGTACGATTTCTGGTCGAAAAAGTTTTGAAGCAAGTTCACGAGAAGCACACGTCGAAACCGTAATCGAATGGTCGTGACGCGGTACATCGGCTTAGGAAAGAGGAAAGATTATTAGCATAGACCGCCGTGGTATAAGAATGAAAGGCAGCAGGAAACGCGGATTTACATAACTTATTTTCATCGACTTACAGGCTCTTTCCGTTCTTTTTCTTTCTTTTATCCGTCCGGTATTCGCGATAAAATAATTTCTCAGAGGAACACTCCTTCTCGGTACAGAAATGTCAATGAAAATATTCCAACGCCTCGAAAAGCTTTCGACATTTTCGATTCTCAATACGATATATAATTCATTAGTTGCCTGCAAATGTGATGGCCATTTTTTCAATTTTTTTATCGATACTGAACACATCATTACAGTCTTCGTTGCTCAAAATAATTGTCCCGATTTTCTACAACTTTTCGCTCTTTTCCTGCAATTGTGACATTATAAATATTATATATCGTCAAGCTTAAATGGGCCGAAAATTACTTTTGATTATGCTTGATACAATTCTACAGGGTGATTCAGTGAAATGATCGAGTTTCAAACGGAAATAATAATACTTGGGATAAGTTCACTTACATTCTTACATCCGGATCTAATGCATAGTTATATTTTATAAAACTACTATTTAACCGCCACTTTCTAATCTTTGCAGTTGACGTGATTTCAGACTCGGCGATTAACCCATTTGTATCATTGGCGTATATACATATACGTGCAATTTTCTTGGTCACTACCACGGAAGTGTATGTATACACGCATCACACTGTACAAAACGATTAGTTTAGATTGCTCAAATCAATGAAATATTAACTTTTTTTATACCTTACTATTTGTAGTTAAATATAACAAAAACGAATTTCGTGTTAACGGGCTATTTTTCATTTTTTTTTAAATAATGCAAATGAACGACACCTCCGTATACTGCTGCTTTTCACTGCGTATCATTCGAATAAAATTCTGCCCAACTCTGGTACATGCGTACAAGCGACCACAGCTTATTAAGCCATCGGGCCGGAGTTAACCTAACCTTAAACCTGGAAAGGAGTTTTCACGGTTGGATAAGCCGCTAATTACGTGGGTGGTGTACCCTGGGCCCCGTCGATTAACGCCTCTAATCGAATTGTTCTACCGTGGACGAGCTGTGAGATCGTAAGGGGAGGGGAGAAAAAGTCTCGTTAGGAGGGAAAAAAAGGCAGAGATGCTGGCATGCGAAGGTCGATGTGCCGTTGTCTCGACACCAGGAAATCCTCGTTCGGGAAGCTTACCACGTGTACCGACAGCGGAACAAAGAGAGAGAAAGAGAGGCAACCATGAGAGGTGAGAAAGAGGGACACAACACTCGAGAGGAGACCTCGAGATCGTTCCTGCTTTCAACCGATTTTTAGCTTTAACGTCGCTTCGAGTTATTCTTACGGAGCTATCAATTACAGCTACCGACGCTTATTTTTTTCCTGTTCGAACGATCTCCGCTTCCGCCTCGGGGAGCCACGTACACGTTGTACGCGACACGTCGCGTTGTTGCGACGACTCGTCAGATATCTTCGCTCAGATACAACGTGAGTTTATACCAGAGTTGGGCAGAATTTTATTCAAATAATGAACACAGTGAAAAGCAGCAGTATCTAAGGATGTTCTGAGCTTTAAACAGTTAATGGGATTAAAGAAGTATTATTTTATTATAAAAATTGAAATTTCCACGTTTAAACAATTGAAAATAACGAAATACTGTTTTTACCTTTTTTTCGTTATTCGAAACTTTTTATCTAGATAATTAGTCAGCCCATCTGTGGTTTACACCGTCCTCTTTCTTGGGAAATTAACACTAGAATTACCAACGATAAATGCATATTTGCTTCGATCGGTGGATAAACGTGAAAAACTTTTGAAAATTTAGAAATTTAGAAATTGACTAATTTTTTCACTTTCATATCGTAATAAAAAGTGCAGAAGATCTGAGAAAATGAATTGTCATAACATTTTAATCGTCGTTGTAAGAGTGTATTGACAAGTCATTTTGACTTGTTTGGTAGTTCTTGGGTTAAGACGTGGGGCGATATTATTCGTGTATCCCTTTACTTGAATTAATACGAATGTACGAAATTAATGTGCTTTATTTGCTGAATGACAGAGGTACATACAGCAGAAGTATATCCGGTCGTACCATACATGTGACATATTTTACATCCGTATTCCATTAACGTTAAAGGTCGAATTAACGATTATAATTTATGTTTGTGTAAACCTTGATTTAATATACTTCAGCTTAAGCGCTTGCAACTGAAATATTATACGCAGGTTATTTTAGGAAATATTGTTATCTTTTTAAAGCAGCAGTGATGCAAAATGTCATTTTATGAAGTGTTTCATAAAGGCAGGAGTACAAATAGAAAATTCCTTATTTTCTCAGGGACTTTACTGAGGTCGAAATAAAATATTAAATTTTCGTCTTTACTGTATTTCACATACTTCTTCATGCTACAAATGCATAAAATCCGAGATCTAGCTATCACGCTTCTAAAAAATTTACTATTAAGTACGTTTTCTCATTTATCTAGAGAACTCTGTTATTTAGAGTTTTAACTTATAAGTATCTGAAATTGTGAATTTTTTTCATAAACTTTCAATCATTACAATTTCTGCCAAAAAGATGCTCTCGTATTTCACTTGGAAGAAGTCACGACACAGATGGGCGTGGCGTTTGAAAGAAGGAAAATTGGAGAAATAGGTGAACAGTGTCGCGATCGAGGGGATTTCGATCCAGGAACGTGGCCAACCGGTGCTGGAATCGTGTGTAACAAGAAAACTGGAACGAATTCCGGCGGACGAAATGTGATCGATCGATCATCCGGGACGGACATTTCCGGCTTGGAGGTCGCCGACGAGCCAACGAAAGGAGGAAGTCATGCCGGAAGTCGTTCGCCGCGTAAGAAACCAACCGCTCGAATAATCTTCCTTCGGGCAAAAACCGCCACACTCACGGATCCCTCGGCAATTATTGCGGATATTTAAAATCCCCTCCAACGGGTTCACCGTTGAGTGCTGTTTCCGCTACTTTTAACCGCTTTACAATAACTACACACGATGGTTTCGGTGTACAAAACGCCTCAACGTTCCCAGATAAACTCCACGTTGGCTAATTCGCGCGTAGAAATCAGCAAAAAGGATTGAGATATATCTAAAGATTCTAGAATGCTTTTAAATTATCACATAATTTATCGTTGTTTTATACATCTATTTAAGAATTTTATTTGTAAATACACTGCGGATTTTATGCATTTATAGCTAATAGGACTTTGTGTAAAGCAAAAGAGGAAAAACTTTCGTCAGATGGCAATGTATTTTCTATTTTATTCTGAACCCAATAAAATATTTAAGAGAAGAAATAAATTCCTACCTTTGTTGTCAAAAATTACGTTAGAAGACGTCATTTTATATAAAAATCCGCAGTCTATTTCCTTTTTAGATAATTTCGTCTTGTGTCGCAGTATGAATTGTCACTGATACTTTGAAGTTGATAGATAAAGTAAAATGAACACGACGTAAAGTTGTACGAAGTTTGTGTAACATACGTTACAGTGGCGTTATAAACGTATTATGTAAGTGGCGCATCAAAATGTATGGCTCCCAATATAGTCCGTACTGAACTTTTGTTATAAACCTGAGATGGACATTTTTTATTTCAATGAAAAATACTCTATAATATATAAAGTAAAAAGTTTATCGAAGTAATATTTTACATTCCTCATTAGATTATTAATCTCAAGTGATATTAAATTTTATCG